CCCCCCTCACCTCCTCGGCCTGCTCTACGACACGCAAGCGCGCAAGGGGGCCGCCATCATCGGGGGACTGTGGGAGGGAGGGGCCGACTTGGTCCCGTCATAAAAGAAGAGCTTAGGGAGGGGGGGGGGCGCAAGGGCCTTACAGCCTCGCTTACAGCAGCTTCCAACGACACGTGCAGGGGGAGAGAAAGGCTTTCAGCGGCTGCGACACGGCCAGCAGCCGGAGTCATCAAATACAAAAGCCACTCCACTTCTCTTCTCCCCCATTGGGGCCCTGCTCTCGGCCCTGCTGCCTGCCTGGCTCTCAGCCGTGAAACAAAGGCGGAGGACGCAAACACGGCAAGCAGGCGCGACGTGATTGAGTCGGTAGAGCTGCGGTGCGGGCCTGCGGGCCTGGCAACAGCACGAGCGGGAGCGTACACTGTGAATCTGGGGTGTCTATGTCGACTATCTGGTGGACACCTTAGGGATCGTCCAAAAAGTACGTGCGTTTTTCACAGGTTCATTCGTTCGGCAAATTATGAGAGCTCGGCGCCTGCGAGACTCCGGGTAGGCCCCCCCGCAGTACGCCCATGCTCTGCAGGCGAGATGTTGCCTACCTACCAGGCGTTAGGAGCACTTGTAGAGGCTGGACTTGGAAGGTTAGTAACGGTAAATTGCGGAAGTACTTTGTGGATGATCCCTTACGGTCTTCCGACCCGAAGTGTCCAGCAGATAGTCAACGTAAGTCGCCTTGTTTTGCGGGTCAGGCGACGGCTGGACACACCCAGGATTTACAGTGTAGGCAACAGGCAAGGCAGGAGCCGCTACATCCGGTGGATCGGTGGAGCCGGCCGTGCCGGGCCGGGACACACCTTCTCCTTCAGGTCTAGTAGAGAGACCTCTCACAGTCTGCGCGGCCAATCACACCGCTGCTCTAGTTATCAGTCGGCGAGCAAATCGCTGTACGACACCTGGACAAGAACACACACACACCTGGGCCCGCCGGGCCGGGCGGGCGCGAGGCGGCAGCGGGACCGCCATGTGGCCGCTGCTGGTGTGTCGGCGCAGCTCGCCGCCGCGTGTGGTGTGGGCGGGCGCGGGCAAAGGCGCGCAGACGGGCACGAGCCCGCCGCGCCGCGACCAGAAACTGCCAAGATGGACTGCACCGCAAACAGAACGTGCATGTCCGTCCGGCCATCGGTCCCTTCGTGTGGCTGCGGCGAGGTGCGGGGCGGAGTGGGTTGTCCGACTCACTTTGTCGCCCGGGAAGGAAGCCGGATGGGCCTCCTCGACGGCGACGTCAAAATACTGGGAAATCAAAAGGGCGCGGTCGCGGTGGGTACTGTACTCCGCCGAGTACTCGGCCCCGACCGCTCTACTCGGCGCGGGGCCGCTCCCCGCACCGCCCAGGCACCGCCCGCCCACTCGAGCCGCGCCAGCCGCGCCCAGCGGAGGGGACCGGAGGGGACGCCCACGACTCTCCGGGCGCTCTCCTCCGGGCCGCGCAGCGCTGCACCGGAGCGAACCCGTTCAGGGCAACACTGCTGAGAAGAGTTCGGACCGGGTGTACCTTTGAATGCGGGGTTGCATACTCGCCAGGGCTACGCGAGCCATAGCGCCCTGCGGTCGAAGGGAGTGAGGCAAATCCGCGCAACCTTTGAGTGCGCATTCACAGAAGACGCACGCGGTACACACAGTACACTACCCGCATCCTCTCACAACTTCTCCACTGACGCGACTCCGTCCTTGGCACTCAATTCAATTCTCGAATCTACTTCGCGTCCGTTTTGGACACATTTCGCGTTCGCCGTTTGGCCCGGCCCCGGCCGGCCGCTGCAGCTGCGCGGGCGACGCGGTCGCGTGGTGCCGTGCAGGCCGCTGCGGGTCATTCGCGGGTGCCCCTCACAGCTCCACATTAACGAGCGCGGACAAGCGCATTAAAAGTATTACTTCTTTTCTCTGGGCGGGCGGCGAGGGCTTGCGTGCCGTTGGCGGGCCCCACTAGGGGGCGCCATTAGCCCTCCAGGGGCAGGGCCGGCAGGGCCAGCAGGGCCAGCAGGGCGTGGCCCCGGTGCACGCCAATCAATGAGATGGCCACCGGGGCCGGCCCCGGGCCGGGACTGCGGCGAAGAACTCGCTCCGCCCACGGTCGGGCCAGCCGACTGAGGAGGGTGGCGGTTAGTTTACTTAGCGAGGTGGTGCAGAGATTCTCACACATCGCCAAAGAGTTTAGGTGGAAAAATTTTCAGCGAACACGAAAAGGACGGCATTGCGCGGTACAATATCCAGATCAGGCCCCTGCTCAGCCAAAATCCCGGTGCGATCGATGACCACTATATGCCGGGCGTTTTTTTAGCCCACCCTTCTGCTTTTAAAAAAGCATTAAAGCAGGCTTATGCAACCACTCTCGTGTCCGTCGTCTGAGCTAGAGGTCTACGAATTTCAGGGTATCTTAGGGGTCACCGAAACCGAGGAGCAAATCTTGAGGGTCGAAGGCCGAAGGCCAACCCACCCGTACCCGTAAGCCTTAGTTTACTCAAAAGCGGTCGGGCCGAACGGAGTTGCCGTCGGAGCGAAGAGCAGCTCGCAACTTCGTTTGGCGAAAAGGCGGGCCTAGCTTGTTGTCTTTGAATGCGAAGCTGCGGGGGGGGGGGGGACTAGTCAGAGAAGTTATGGCGCCTTGGGGTAGGCAAACCCACCGGCACCGGCGCATGCAACGACACACCCACCCAGGACATCATGCAATAAGATGCCGTGGGAAGTAAACCCAGTAAACCAAACCCGGCCGCACGAACACGTTGGGGTACAGTCTCAGCTCAAGAAGCGCAAGGCCGGCGTGCACCTCGTACAGACAGCGCCAGCAAGAAGCGCCGCCGCCGCCGCGAGGCGACGACGCGGAGAGCGCCGCGACGCCCGCCCGCCACGTGACGCCCTCCAGACCTGGGAGAGGGGGGGCGAGGCGTGGAGGGAGAGGGGCGGGGGGAGAGGGGGGTCCTGGGTAAACAGCAGCCACAGAGGGAACACACACCGGCCGTCTCGTTGGGTAAACACGGCGGAGCCTGGGCGCGGCGTCGGAGCGCAGCAGCCAGGCCAGCAGCAGCCCCGCAGCTGTCCAGGACCACATACCGCCCCGCTGCGCTCTCTGACGCCCTTCCCCGGGGAACTCCATAAAGACTCCTTCCGCTGCGCCTCTCCCCTGTTGTTCTTGCACCACCGGCCCCGCCCGCCGCCCCGCCGTCATTGGGCAACTGGAGCCGTCATAAATCCGCTATCGCCCGGGCAGCACTCGCGCCACTACAGGCGCTATCGCCTATCGCGGACCGCGTGCTCGGACCCAAAAGCAGTTTGTTGGTGTAAAGAATTTTCATTTAATTTCAAGAAATTTTCATAGCAGAAATCAAAGGAACGTTTTTCGTTAGGATGACGAAACGGTCCAACAGTCCAACGGTTTTTGGCAAATTAAATTTCATTGGTGTCGGCAACGTCAAAAATTCGTTGTTGGAAAGATAATGATTTCTGGGTGCGCGCGTTTCATCACTCTGTCAAAGAAAGCGAAGCGAAGCCTTCGCTGCCGCCCGCAGAGCTTACAGAGCGAGGGAGCCTGCTCCGAGAGCCAACGACCCCAGACGCCATGTGCACGGCTGGTGCAAGGCCAGCAGACACGCTTATCGGAGAGGGCCGCTGGGCTGGGACCGGCGGGCGGGGCGCGAGGACGAACCGTCGCGGGGCGGGGCAGGGCGGTCGATGTCCAGATCGCGGGGCTCGCGGCCGCGGTACCCCGTGCCCAGCCCATGTCTCACGGAGAGGATCTTGCGTCACGACCGCGTCATGACACGGGCGACTGGCGACTCATCGGAGCCGCTTCCTGCCGACTGATTGAGAAGAGCGTCTCCTCTCACCAGTCTAACGGCGGTGCTCCATGAGTGCGACAAGGACACAGATACAAAGCCGATATTCTGAATCAGCGGCTGAGGTGGCGCGTGGTTGCGGTGCGCGGGTGGAGACAGGTTTGGCCAGGCGCGGTTTTATGGGGGGGGGGGCCCCCCCCCCCCTTTCGTCTTCCTGGGGTGGGTAGGCAATTTTGTCCAATACACCCCCTGAAAGTAAGCAAACCACAAAAATCGCCCCCTCTGTCAATCAGACTTAAAACCGCGCCTGGGTTTGGCGCGGCGCGCGCGCTCGCGTTCGAATACCCATTTCCGCTGCGTCACCCGTTCAGAAATGAAATCTCGGTCGGTGGCCGACCCAGCCCAGTCCGCGCCGCGGCCGCGAGCGGGGCCAGCGCGGCCGCGGGACGGGAAGCGGGGCAGGGCGCCCGGCGCGTGGGCAGCGGCGGCAGCGGGCAGCGCGGCGGAGGGGCGGGGCGGGGCGGGGTACAGGTTGGCCACTAATACATGCAGGTGAGGGCGAGGATCTACGCAAGGCGAGGCGAGGCGCGGAGGGGGGCGGTGGGGCGGGGCATTGCGTGGGCACAACAGACCACACCGCGCCAGGCTGCGCCAGGCCTGGCCTCTGTAGTGCGGAGGCACAGAGCGACTCCTACTCCAACGCCGCCGTGCCCATCCCATCCTGCGGCGGCGGGACGCTCTTTGTCTCCGCATCGCCTAGATAGCCGCGCGCTCACCCCGCGGCGGGGCGGGGCCGGCGGGGCCGGCGCGGCGGTAGAGATAAGCCCCATCAGGCCGTGGGGGCGCAGGGGGGCGCAGGGGGGCGCAGGGGGGCGTGGCGGCCGGGGAGCGAGGGAAGCCGCGGCCAGCCGGCGAGACGCACGCCACCACGGGCCGCCGAGGAAGCGACGCTCAAAATAGCGCCTCGCTGAATCGGCTCTCGCGAGTGACTCGGTGCTGCTTGCTGTAGCGCCCTTCCCTTAGGGCGGGGTCGCGGTGGGGGCGGGACGGGGCGGGGAGGCCGGTTGGAGGTCGGTCGTGCACAGCGAAGCAGCGCGGCGCAAAGGGCACTGGGCCGAGGGAGAGGGAGAGGGCGAGCAAGGGGTGCGTCCGCCCCCCAAACCAACTGCACTCACTCCAGCCCGGCGAGGCGCAGAGATATCAATCAAAGGGCGACACAACGGGGGGAAGGCCCATTCATCGTGCTGCTCGCCCGGCCCCTGCCCGCTCCCGCCCCCTCTTGTCACCAGTGGAGTCCTACAGGATAGACTCGCGGCGCCGCGGTGCCCCGCCGCCGGCCCAGGGGAAGGGGAGGGAGGGGGGACTAAAGAAATGGGTGCAGACAGAAAAGGGGCGAGGTGGGGTGTGGATGGAGGGCGTCGCGGGGGTGAGCAGCGCCGCCACGGCCAAGCTGGACACGAGCCAGGGCGGCAGGCGCCGTGGGGGCGTGGACATCCCCGCGACGCATCGCGGCGCCCGCGCCCCACTGGAAGGCTGCACGCGGCCACATGCGTACTACAGGAGCTTTCAACCCCGCTGCCATGGAGCTGGAGTGGGGCATTCTCGGACGTCTGTGGACCTGTTTAAAGAATTCCCCACGTATTGACACTCTTGGAACATGAATTTTGGTATACTTTCTTACCATGAGTTACTCAGTGATAAGAGAAGTTCACAAAGATGCTGAAAATCAACTGGTAATGAGAGTGGAAAAGGGGGCGAATTAAGCATCCAGGTGTTCGCATGTCTACACCCCCAACAAAATTTTGTCATGAATGCAAATAATTAACGTATCTGATGTGAAGGATGTACTTAACTATAACCAAAAATAGTTTGCTATATAGATTTTTCTGATAAGTGTGAGAATTGTCTGCTTCTTAACATGCACCGACAAAACTATGAGATATCAGACAAAAAAAGTTTGGGAGATGTCTTGAAACTAAATCATAAAAAGCATACTAAGAATTTTATTTCTAGGTCCTAGCCTAATATGAAATAAGGAATTTGAACATAGGCAGAGGATAAATGAGGAAATATCTGTTTTGTTGAGCAGATGTGCCTCAGAGCTAGGTTATAGGGACGACTCAGACACATTTAAAAGGCCGTCTAAAAGATAAAATCGACCAAACTAGGTCCATTATAGTCAACGTGAGGCTCATCAAGTGTAACTCGGTTAGTGACACGAGTGAATATTGAAATTTTAAGAGTCTGTGGCAAGGAGCAGTATCCTATTACACACCCGTCGCACCCCTTCAGGTAATAACTGAATAGAATTCTTATCATAAGAATAAAATGATGTAAGACTCACCCTGTCTTTCGGCTATTTATCCTTAAGATCATATCCATTAATCACCAAACACACACTAATTCAACATAGCAAATCACAGTCCGATCATAACGCCGAAAAAGGCAAGTTCGACAACACCTTTCAAGCCGAGTTTCCTACGGCAACTGACATGACGTCATGTTTGTATCACCACTCACAACACGTTGTCTTTTTTCTACAGGGCGCACAAGGCTGGAAGTTTCTGCCAACATAGTTCTTTAAAGTCACAATGTTAACAAGCTACGTGAATGATTAAGAATCGACATTAGATCGTAAAATAAAATGATTACCTTCTCGTAAGGACACTTCAAAATTATTATGCTCTTATACGGCTGGCTTGCCTGCACGCTTACACCAGGGCGGCTTGTTGGTGTGTTGGTATCAGACTTATTCCTCAAATATTACGACGCGGTAAGTTCAAATCTGTTCAGGTTGCTTGCTTCGCTTAATCTTGAGAAAAGGTATGGGACTTATCCCATCCTATACGGAATGTACTTGTACAATCTGCCGAGTGTAGCAGAAAGCTCTCACAGCGTTCATAAAAGGATGAAGTAAAGTGACAGTGAGTCGGTGAGTGGATAGACAACATATTCGTTTTCTCTTTATTTGTTGTATTGCTGTACCACAAGTCAGTACACTGATTAAATTTTATTGAAATACAGAAAAAATTGGGAGTATGCTTCATATTGAACATCAATTTCCACTCGGTCTATGGAAATTCAGTAATACATACACATCCTTAAACCAAAAGAACAGCAAAAATATTTTGTTGAAGAGGAAAAATAGAGAGAACCCTGTAGGAAATTTACACACATCATTTAAGAATCAACTATAGTGTAAAGTTGATTGAAAAGTAATCTTTATATTACATAAATGAAAAGTAACAAAGCATTTAAACAGTAGTTGACACTTTAAGAAAAGATATACGTACTTGTGTTTATGCCATTTTTGAAACATCCACATGTTATCCTCACGTACAGACTTCCAGCAGTTTCAAATATGTGTGACAATTACATGCGAGCAGCTACACGTATTTCGGACGAGGCATTAATTTGGATCTTGGATATCAAAGGTGGCGAAAAGCAAATGTTGTGGTACCCTACTCGTGAGAAATTGTGTTGCACTATAGAATAGCACAAAATTTGCTCTCCTCCCTTTGTATCCGTAATGTGATAGGTCGCTCTACTATTGAGTTCTAAAGGAGTGATACAATAGAAATATTTGAAAGCAGACATTATGCTGAAGCAACACAGAATCAAGCACCTCCAAAATACTTTGATTCTCCATCACTGAACCATGATTGATCTCTAGAGAAGAGGGAAGCAGCATCTCAATATAAACGCGCTGTAATAATTAACAATTTTGAAACTCCCGATAAAAAAAACATGATGGAGACACAATGGACACAGAAACATGCAAAAGAACTTAGGGGGGGATTTACAATGTGAGTTGGCCTAATGTTGCAGAAGAGTCTTAGTAAATTTTAGTATCAATAACATTGAATGATATGACACACCTATAGAAGCACTACAGACACACTATTGAAAATCAGAAGGTTGCCTCTGATTAATAATTTACACTTGACTAGCACTTAACATTTCATCACTACCAAATACACATATTTTATAATTTACAAGACTTCTTAATCTTTGATTACTTTTAAGTTTCTCAACAAAATCATACATTTAAGTTTTCTAGATAGTTGTGTCAACAACATCAAAATGGCATTATGGTTATCTGTACAGAAATTTACATCCCCCTTAACTGTTTCCAACATCTTTCATGATTATTTGAAACTATAACTACATCACAGCCATTGCTTGTCTGATTGCTCATTGTTGCTTCTTTACCTTCGTTAAGCAATTCAGTAGCTCTACTGAAAGACATTAAATTAACTATAATTCCACCCAGAACAAAACCCTATTACAGCACGTTTCTGCCCTGGTGAGTTTACCTTCTACAGCACAGCAAATATAAAGAGCTTTAGAAAAAGTTGTGGTTGCAGGGAAGAATGAAAGAATCCATTCATAATCCACCTGCATAATAAATTTATTAGATGTTTGAATGAACTTCCCGGTTACGCAAAATAGGTTTGGTTTTCTCCCCTTTGACATTTGGAATGTTAATGTTTTTCTTTCCCATAAGATAAAATTGCAACCATTGGTCAAGAAAACAGTTAAAGGTGCATCTCGGATAGAAGTCAACTAGATTACTTTTCGATCTTCTACAAAAAGCCACACAAATTTGAAAAACACAGATAATCATTCACAGATACCTGCCACACAATAAGCAATGACAAAAATATGTTAAGAACAGAAAGTCATAGGCATATTTTGCTATTCTCTCTGTCTTTTTCCATTTTATATCTACTGTAAAATTCATTACAGATAGGGCAAAATTTTTAAGCTAAAAATATAAAAGCAACTTTTTGAGCCCATTTGAGTACAGCATTCACACAAATATAAAACCCTAAGGGGGGCTTGTATACTCAACTGACTTTTTCCAAATCAACCTTTTTTCCCCAGCTGAATTTGGGTCTCATATATGGGGGGGTTTTACGTTCAGGTGAATACGGTACATTTATAAGTTTTGCTGTTAATGCACCAGCAGTAATATGACAAAGGTATTAGATTTAACAGTTATTTCAGAACACATATAATGATATCTTATGATGTTGTGATTTTGGCCCATATACTTCACACATTATACTAAAAAGGTCTAAATTCTGAGCAGAGACAATAGCTTTGAGATTGAAATTTAAATAGGGAGCATCACTAAGCAAGCGTAAAAGAGCACCAAAAACACCCTATTTTGTTGAACTCAGTCAAAAAAATATATTCCAAAGTCTGGTATTTACACAATTTTGTACAGTCAAAGCATGAATAGACGATGTAAAATTAGAGAATCCTCCCTCTCTCTTCAGTGCTTTTGCTGAGGTAATGTCATGACATTTAAGAACTAATGGCACAATTGGTTAAACACATACATTTCAATGGTCAAATCACAATAGAAATGTCTCATCAAATTTATGATGCTATAGGGTCATTGTTGATTTGAGGACTTTTTATCACTGAGTTTTTAAGACCAAACCATTTGTGTATGATGGTGAAACTGATGTATCATTTTGGAAAACTTTCACCAGTTAACCCTCTTTTCTTTATATTTTAAAAATTGTTATTGATTTACACTCATGGTTTACCACAACAAATTAAAAGAACGAAAAGCTAAAGTTTTATGTGACAGTCCACAACATTATAAAATGAGGTTTTCCAACACTTAAAACCAGAAACACTGGCATAGAAGCAAAACACAGCATTTTAATTTCCCATAATTCAACTGTATGATGCAATTGCATTGAGTAGAAAGCAAATTAAAGCACAGAAATGAAAACTTAACACATGTGTCTATGTTTTAGAAGGGTATACAGCAAAATATGATGGAAAATGCAAAGCAGGACAATGGCAGAAGAGCTTCTCAACATTGTGATGCCAAGGACAGAAATGCCAAGGACTTATCAAAATGCACGCCTTGCACCATAGATCACAGAATCTGCAAATTATTGTTTTTTTTATTTTTTTCGTTTTTAAAGAGATTTGAGTTATGGAAAAACATTTTACCTCAATATTTTTAACATTCACACAAAAAATACTGCCACTCGCACTGCACTGCCCTGCACAATCAGTTTGGGCTGATCAAGATTAGACTTTTTGTAAAACACATCCAAGGTAAGATGGGTATAAAACTATTATGTTACTAACAGCAACTACAATGAAGAATAAATCTACCTATTTTCTATCACAGAAATCAAATCTCACCTTCAGGAAAAGAAAAAAAAAGAAACACGTTACAAACTTATATAGTTGAAAAAAAAAAACGAAAAAAAACAGGGAGCAGAATGAAAAATCTTCCCGCAAATGCAGGACAACTGTACCTCACAAATTATTGTTGCTTGCAGGTGGTAGTAATGATGGATTTCGATGAGACAATCTCACACATTCTATTCCAGGTACACAATGTAATATCTTCTCCCTAATTAAACCAACTCTTCCCTAACCCATCAAAATTTAACTATTTAAGTCACAAGGAGTGGTGATACTTACATTGCTTCCAAAAATGAAAAAAAAACAAAAAAACATTTAAATTATTGTCATGAATAAAAATCAAAACCAAATACAGCAATGTAGCGCATATTATTGAGTGGCACCCAAGTGGGACAAGAGCAAAAATTATGAAAATTACATCATACTATGACATACCGCTATGTTATCATGATACACTGAATACTTTTTTCAATCACTTTTTTATACCTCACTGGTGTGTTGTTTCTGATCTATAACTATTCAAATATAGACAAGGAAATTCCATATAACCATCATACAATCCCAATAACAAGATGCATTTGTTTTTGTGTCTTATTCATTTATATTATTTTTTTTTACCCAGTTTTTTTTTTCAATTAAACTTCCCTCTTTTAAAGTATAAAGAGGTAAGACAACAACGATAAGATTGATGTATTTTCCAATACCGTCACATGTAGTCGTAAATGTGAATAAAAGCCAAGATTATCATTGAAACAAAGAATGCTCAAGAGAAAACATATCTAACAGAGCACTTTGGGAGGGAACTGTACTGAGCCAGAACCTGAAACTATTCCATGATTCTCAATAGAATTTATATTCTATGTGCACCAATTGATAGATTAAAAAATACAATGCAAACATTGAGTTAATCTGAAAAGAAATCAACAGAGAAAAATAAAATTGACTGAAACAAAACCTTATGAGATACTTTGTATCAGTTCATCACAGGTCAAAGAAAAGAGAGACTACAAAATAATCAAAATTCAACTACAGGATAATATTAAAATAAATTATGCAGACTAAAGTAAAGTATCATGAGCTTATTGAAAGCTACACATTAACACAAATTATAAGCAAGTAGTTTTCCAGTGGACCCTGCTTGCTTGTAGCACTTCACAAATTAGCAAACTCTTCTTCAGATATCATTTCAAAGCCATCCGTATCTGAAAGAGAATCGTCTTCTTCAACTTCTTTCACAGTGGTAGAGCGTCCACTTTTCTTTGGAGCTGCACTACTAATAACTGATGATATGAGGCTTTGGCCCACCGAAGCAAGATTAAGTGCTCCTGCCGAGGAATACGAGAGGACAGCAGCTGCTGCATCAACTACAGCTCCACTAGAACTCTTGCGTGACGCACATTGCATTTTCTGTCATAAGTAAAATAAAAGGTAAATTTAAAAAGGAACAAACTAATCAATTGACAACTTGAAGACTACTCATACACCAATGTATGAGAAATTTGATAAAAGACAGTGTTTCGCACCTCCTCACTCCTTCTTGTTGATTGATTTTCTTCCTCTGACGAACTGTCTCCTTTGAAGTGACGGGTTTGGAAATGAATACCTGCACTTTCATTTTCTGGCAGAGAAATACTTTCATCACTGTCTGAGCTGTGTGGATCAATGTCAAGGGGCGATGAATTTTGGTTCTGTTTCTTAGACTGTCCAGCTACTTTGTTCCCAAGCTGAAAACAGTAAGAGAGAGAATTTAGTAGATTTGATGGTTTGAAATAACATTAGAGGTTTAAAGTTACTTCCACTTTGCAAAAAAAATTCTTACAGAAATTTCCAAACTGAAGTCAGTGCCATCAAGGCTTAAGTCTTCATGTGCAGGCATAGCTGTAATGCCACTGATAAAAGTAAGTGATGGCGCTGAAATTGAGGGTAAAATAAGAATAAAAACCAAGC